GGACATTATATGATATTTATGTACTTTTATCTGTTGATATTTGAATATTATATTTTGTAAGATTCATGTACATTTGGTTAAAGAGACATGAATATGGATATTGTGATATGAACAATTGTAAGGAAAGACTCAAGTATGTATGTATGCAAAGCATTATGATGATGTAATGATCATTGATGGATCCTATTAATAGTCTAGTAGATAGACTGAATATGTATGAAATTATATATGTTGTCAATTAGGTGTTTCATGAGATTGGGAAAATTTTCCAAACCCTCCAATTGCAGCCAGGTGTTGTCTATTTTATTTCTAACTGATATGGTACATGATAGCCATAATCGGGTAGTTGATTATCAACACAGATGGTTTGTAAAGTTTAAAGTGTTAAAGTTACGAGGGTGAATAAATGGTGGAGGCTTTAAAAGCAAAACCTTACAAGTATAGAGCAAAAAAGTATGGTACAAGTAAAAAAAGATCAAATATTATTTCCAACATATATCAGTAATCCCTTCCCCTCAATCTCAGAATTGACAAGGATTTGAATCAGTTCAATTGACCTGACATGTTATCATCATCTAAAACAACAGATTCACCAATTATGCTTAAAACAATGGACCCTGATACAAGCAGATAACCCTAAATCATATATCCAACTGCACTACAACTACCAAATTCTAAATCAATTAAAAAAGGGGAATAAACATTTTTATCACAAAGGGATTAAACACTGCAGATTAAGCAACTCAAGGATGCAACCTAAGCATAAGAGGTAGATGGAGGATATTTGATCAATCAGATTCGATTACACCCCTTCTCTACTAAGGCTTTTGACTGCAGTTAATGCCAAAGACATCTAATTGTATTTCTCAAAATACAAAGTGCACGGTCATGAAAGCATTAACACATTTGTATAAAACTTGTCAAAATCACACCAAATTGTTGTACTACGGCCAAAGATATATACAATTGAAACAAAAATCCGGTTCTACATTCCTAATTCAAACATGCAAAAAATGTCAGTGCATCCTATATCCCATTCAATTGTATACTTGGTACAAGATTAATCACCAAAATGATTATTTAATCATGCACTTCAAGCAGCAATTATATAAAGGTAAACCTAGGGTTATAAAGCTCTCTCTTAGATAAGGATAAGACCCATTATGTAGGTCTATAGTAAGCAAACTTACCTAATTATCTTACATCTTTTGCACGCTCCTTCCATCATCGTCGTTCCCAACGAACAACAACAACAAAATGAAAAGAACATGAATTAGACATCTATTTTTTTTTTTCAAAAGTTTGTGACCGCTCTTGCAGTCACATGCAACAACGTAGGTCCGCCACTAGGTTCAAGGGTTGGAGATTTATTGGATGGATCCCTCTCTCATATGATGATGATACTTGATTCTTGCATGGAGAAATTTGAGGAAATCATTGATTGATGGAGCATCTTTTGCAATTATAAGGAGATTACTTTTCACTAATATGACATAATTATTGAATTAGTGGTGAAAAATTACATTCCCGATTAATTAATATTGTAAATATGATATAATTACTAAATTAATGATGAAAGATTATATCCCTATTAATTCATATTATACTGGTATCTTTTTAGTGTATAAATGAGAGTGTAACGAAAAAAACAGTAAATTGTTTGAAAGAGTAACAAGAAATAGGAAGAAAATTTTTACATAATTATTTGATTTGGTATAAAATCTGAATATAAAAAAATTAATTGTAAGAGATGGAAAATATAACATCCCCTTATTATATTATATACTCTGAATATAATAAACTTTAATAATAGTATTTTACAACCAATATTTATACTTTGGACCAATATGTTAAGCGATATACATCAAACTATTAATTACTTAATCATAGAAGTTCTACCAAACTAAATTTTTTTAGTAAATGTAATTGAATCGAACTTTTATATATCAATCTTTATATTTGGAGAGTATAATTAAAAATAATGCTAAGCACTCTATGCAATATTATCAGAGGTAAACACATCCTTTATTTAAACATTGACATCATGACATCCTAAATATTAATGCACAAGTTGATAAGAAACTATATTAATTACTCTCATACAATATTGAGAAAAATATTAATAGAAATAACGGTTTTAAAAAACAACACGAAGAAAAGCATCTAAGTTCTAAGGACAAATCTAAGTCTTTTCAAATAGAGGGTAACACATAATATTTTCCTTTATTTAATATTTTCAATCTAAGTATCTAAAGGTTTTAATAAAATCCTTTATTTAGTTAATATTTTCCTCCAAACTTGAAAGTAACATTTCTTTTATGGGGAATGTTATAGTGACAACTTATTTTCGTTTACAATATCTTACAACTATATTTTAACCGTTGATTTCTATCAATCAACGGTTATCATTTATCGCGAATTAAAAATTAATTAATAAATTTGATTTGTGAAAATCTTAACTGTTGATTGACGAAAATTAACGTTTAAGATATGATTGTAAGAGGTTGTAAACGAAAATAAGTTGTAAGTATAATCTTTCCCGTCTTTTATAACCACATACTCTCTTAATGGATAGATTCTGTAATTGGAAAAAAGATGAATACTAACAAAATATTTTTGATTTTTTTATACACTCTATTACTTGACATTTCTTTGAAAGTGACATTTCTTTTATACAAACACGTAATTTCTCTTCATGGCTAAGCTTATGTAATTGGAAGAAAAATAAATATAAGTGAAATGTTTTTGACACTTTTCTTAATGCACTCTTTATTATTTGGTGAATTTAAATAGAGAGTGAATTTAAATCATTTAGTTAAACTCATAAAATTTATTTAATAAAATGTATTAAAAAGAATATCTGAAAAAATATTACAACATTAGCGAGAGGAAAGAAAATCTCTCTGGCATGTTAAACTATAGGGGAAAAAGGAACCTCTACAACCATATAGAAAAAGGAATCTCTGGCATTTTTTATTATCGTTTTATTGATTATTCTAATCCAATCTAATCCAGACAGATTCTATAAGTGACAAAATTTCCTTAATAATTTTTTAATACAATTATGTACCCAAAACTCAAATTTAATCACTTATTAATTTGAAACAAAGTTATATTGTCTCCCCTTAGCTATGCAATTTTTGAAGAGCGGCTAAAGCACAATAAATAAATAAATAAAAAAACCGCTAAAGATGTTCAATATTAAAACTTCCCTTTATATATGATTGCTCCTATGACATAACTTTTGGTTTTTAAAAAACAACATGCAAAACTTCATTTTCACCCATTGTGGTTTTCTAATTTATCATTTGACTAAATGTGATTTTAAACTTATCACTTAGACCCACTGTGCTGATATAATTTATCATTAACCCCCTATGATTTCAAATTTTCACTTAAACCCCTTGTGGTTACAAAATTTTTCACTTAAACCCCTTATGTTTTAAAAAATAAACATTTAAAAAAATATATTTAACATAAATTTCTCTCTTTCTTATTTTATATCATCATGTAATGCATTTAGGGTTTGAAAAATATTTTAAAAGTTATTTATTTTGAAATTAATTTATAAATTATCTTAATTTTTTTATTTTAAAAATATATTTGAAATTAAAAAAATTATTTAAGATGAAATTAAAAAATATTATTTAAGATAAATTAAATATGTATTATCAAAATAAGATATTTACTTTCTTTAGATAATTTTATAATAATACTGGGTAAAAAATAGATAAAATAAAAATATATGATTTGAATTTATTTTCTTGATAAAAATAAGTGAACTTTTTTAGAATTTATTTTTATTCTTTAAACCTTAAATGCATTAGGTGAAGATATAAAATAAATTTTTATTTTTGTAACAAGGGATCTAAGTGAAAATATTTGTAACCACAAGGAGTCTAAGTGAAAATTTGAAACCACGTGGGGTTAAATGAAAAATTAATTAAGCACAATGAGTCTAAGTGATAAATTTAAAATCACGGGGGGTCAAATGATAAATCACAAAATCACAATGGGTGAAAATGAAATTTTCCCTAAATTAAAAGTAATATCCTTTTTATATGGGGTGATCGACGGAGGGAGGGACAAGTATGGGTGGCTGCCTCTCCCTAAATTTTACTTTTTAATTATTTTTTATATAAAATAATATTTTTTTAATAATAATAATAGATTCTTAAAACTAATAATTAACCCATCCTTAAAAAGTGTTTATAATAAGAATTTAATGTTTCTAAAGTGAATAGAGATAAGTTATCTATATTTCTCTCAAAATGACGTCGTTTTGGGTTGAAAAATTAAAAAATTATAATGAAAAATACTACTATAATACTTAAATAAATTATAATTACAAAAATACTTTGATTTTCTGCCTTAAGACGACGTTATTTTGGGTTCAATGTAGATAAGTTATCTACATTAACTGTATAAAAAAAGTGAAAAGGAGTGTTTCTTATTAGTTTTAATAATACTTAAAATTTAATTTTTTTTGGCACCTATTATAAAAAATCTTGGATGCATCGTTGTGGGTGATGTAAAAGACGAAATAAGTAAAAATTATAAAACAACTAATTTGTTAAATATCTTTGTATGATTCTGCTCTTGCTGTGTGAGTTGAATTAGTTTTATAATTGATTGATTAATAAATTTTAAAGAAGAAACCATTGGGATAGAGATAGATGACCAACAACCCCCTATTTATTTATTTTTTGTATTATTGATTGCTCTTACAGAAAAAGCAGAAGGAAAGGAATGGTATTTTCATCTCTCTTTATTCAGTAGTTAAGTTTTAAAATATTTATTGAAAAGAAATCCTTGTATGAACTTACGTAAATTAAATTAACAAAAAATATTATTATTTTAAATGTAAATTGTTCATTTATACAAAATTTTATCACTTTTTATTTATTATTAATGAATAGTTACGTTACTTTTGGTAGCCAAAATCTTTTTCTAAAACATTTTAATTATAAATTAATATGAAATCAAAATAAATAACTTTAATGAGGAGTTTTTTGTGTGTGGTTATTAAGCAAGTTAAAAATCAATAAATATTTCATAATTGATTTCAAAAGTCAATAAAAAATTATGAGCAATAACACCTATACTGAGGAAGGACCGAAGGAGGAGATTTTGTTCAAAATATTTGTATATTAGTATTTTAACCCGTGAGATGCGGGGGTTATGATGAAATAATTTTTATTACATGCTGATATGAATACTATATGCTAAAGATTATAAAATACATAAAATAAAATTTGAAGGAAATATAAATGAAATAAATGTAATAATACATGAATTCAGTCACGGCCTCAAACGGATGAGAAAATTGAAGAGTGGGAATATGCGTACGAGACACAAGATGATGGGAGAATGATTCTTCAACATAAAAAATCCTTCAAGAGAAGTTGCTAAAACTCAAGAGAAGGGTCAATGGAGAGTGGCGGTTAAGGTTTGTTCAAGAGAGATAGAAGCCATCATATTTAGTGACTAATTTTTGACTAGGGTTTTGGAAAAGTAAAACAAGAAAAATATCTCATTTAAATAAGGAAAAGGAAACTAAATATGATGGCTAATCAATCTCTCTTGATTAGCGCCCCATCACTTTTCAATTATATTGAATAATTTTATTTTTTTATCCAATCAACCCAATTGATTGCTTTCCGTAATTTTAGCCAATCAATCTAATTAATTGGTTTCAAAATCTAATTTCATGACTATATTTAAATTCAAATTTCAAAATTAGAATCAAGTCTCCTTTGACCTATGAAGCATATAATTTTTTTTTTTTAAAAATTGCTTAAGATGGAAAATTTAAACTTTTCAAAAGAATCCAAATCATTATATGAATTATATGTGGTACAACTTTTCATAGAATGACTCTGAATTATAATATAATATAGATATAAATTATTTAAATGTGAAATTAATAATTTATAAATACAAAATAAAACGATTGGATTTTTTTCCTTCATAAATGATGTTTTTACAATTATTTTTTGGGTACAATGTTTTTCATGCTGTAGGAGATAAAATTATCTTCTATACATACATAAAAGTGTGTGAGGATATATAAAGAAAAGAGAAAAAAAAATAAGCTACACACATTTTTATATGGGGTAGGATATTGTAACAAACAATCAGAGTTACTACCAATCAATTTCACCGTTAGATCGATTATGTGGATTCAACGGTTATATTTATTTTCATCTTTGTATGGTTATGATTCTCCATATTTAAATATGGAGAATCATAACTATACAAAGATGAAAATAAATATAAACTATTAAAAATGAGGAATCACAACCATAAAAAGATATAAATAAATATAACCATTGGATCAACATAATCAATCTAACGATAAAATTGATTGGTAATAATATTGGTAGTAACTCTAATTGATTATTATAATATATATATATATATAGGGTTCGTTTTTTTTACAGTCAATGTAGATAACTTATTTACATTAAACTTAAAACGACGTCGTTTTAAGGAGAAAATCAATGTATTTTTTGTAATTATAATTTGTTTTTGGGTTATAGCAGTCTTTTTTATTATAATATTTTAATTTTTCAACCCAAAATAACGTTATTTTTGGAATGAATGTAGATAATTATCTACTTTTATTTTCTATTATAACACGAGAGATTAAACATCAGTTACTAAATGAATTGTTTGAATTTAAATTTGTCTTTTTTGGACGCAAAAGTTAACAATCAATAAATATTTCATAACTGACGAAAAAAAAAAAACACGAATATTAACCAATGTATTGAGGAAAAAGAGAGCATTCAACAAAGTCAAAAAGGAACAGTAAAACGCAGATAGAAGAAAAGAACATAAAAAGAAGGTAAAGTTAAGCCTTCATCGATTCTATTCTGATTCATATTGAATTTGTTTTTTTTTCTTTTTTCTTTGTTCTTCTTCAGACAACAACATTGTTTACGCCGACCTTAACCACTACCCACATTCCAAGCTGCAACCTTCAACCTTTGTTTTGTTTTGTACCCATCTCAGTCTCAAAAAGAGAGAGAGAGAGAGAGAGAAAGACAAAGGAAAAAAAGCAGAGAGAGAGAGAGCTGCCACGTCACCATCACAGCTTCTCTACCAAATCCGAAACCAAAGTTTTCATTTTTCGTCAAATCATAAATACCCCATTGCGTGAAGATTCTGCTGTGTGTTATTGTTTGTGTTTCTTTGTTGACCCATCATTGTTTCGCTTTGAAGATTTGCTTAGAGAGAGAGAGAGAGAGAGAGAGAGAGAGATGGGGAATTCATTTGGTTGCTCGGCGTCCGGTGAGAGGTTGGTGTCGGCGGCGAGGGACGGCGATTTGGTTGAGGCGAAGATGCTTTTGGAATGCAACCCTTGTCTTGCTAAGTACTCAACCTTTGGTGGTCTCAATTCACCTCTTCATTTTGCAGCTTCCAAGGGCCATAAAGAGGTTTCTCATCTACCCTTTTTTGTTTTTTGGTTTTTAATGTTTCAAAGTTTTTCTATTTTTACCATTTTTCATTAACCCCTTTTGATTCTCAAAGTTTCTGTTTTTATTTGTTTCCATCAGATTGTGGCATTGTTGCTTCAGAATGGAGCTGATGTGAATTCAAGAAATTACTGTGGGCAGGTACAGTTTTCATTTTGATTTTTTTTTTCAATGGCTGGTTGGTTGTGGGTTTAGATTTAACTTTTATGGATATTGGTTTTGATTTGATGAATTGTCATGATATGGTTGCAAATGGTGTGATGAATTCAGTGATAAATTTCAATGTTAGAAGATTCCGTTGTGTTTGAAATTGGATTTTTTTTTTTCCAATTTGGTCCAGCTATATAGTTTTAGAGTATGATTCTATTCCATGCTGCTGGTATTGCTAGATGTGCATTCTGATTATTGATAAATCGGTGGATCTGGTGCCTATTCAATTCATGCTAGCATGATAATGTGAAGCTTTACAAGATTTTATTTGGATATATCTTACTTTCCTTTTTATACATGTATATGATTTTTTGACTCATAATATGGTTTACTAAATAAGAATTCTGGTTTACTTTGATCCTTGATTTGAAGACGGCTTTGATGCAAGCTTGTAGATATGGTCACTGGGAAGTTGTACAGACCCTTCTGCTCTTCAGATGCAATGTGAGCACTGTTTTCCCTTTTTCTCCCCCTCTCTGTGTATTTCAGCTATATGTGAACTTTCTTTCCTCATATGTCATAGAGCTGGTTGAAGAAACTATGTGCTGGATGGGAATTCAGTTGTTGGTCTTCTAGTTTCTTTTCAAGAATAACTAGAATGTAGTCTATTCAATAACAGGTTATGAGAGCAGATTATCTCAGTGGGAGGACAGCTCTTCATTTTGCAGCCGTCAATGGGCATGTAAGGTGCATTAGACTTGTCGTGGCTGACTTTGTTCCTAGTGCTCCTTATGAAGCTTTACATGCTCGCACGGAGGCTGACATTGGTGATGGATCAAATGTGAAAAACAAACATGAACAAAGGTATGCCTTTCCCTGTTTATGTAACTCTCAAAACAACATATCATTGCAGTGAATTTCTTATGTTATATTTTAGTTTTTTGCTGGTAGTGGTGAATGAATGATATACTCCATTGTTTGTAACATTCTTATATTAAAATGTTCTTTGTATGGATTTCATCATAGTTTAATTTTTTTTCATACATTGCATTAAATGTTAGTTACTACATCAATAATTCAGTATTAGATAAAAATATTAATTGGAAGAGCTCTGCTTAATTTTTCTGTGTCAATTATGACATTGAGATTTCTTTTAGTTTTTCATTGATATTAAGAATGTTTTTAGGCCTGACTATAATACAGAGTTGATATTTCTTGTGCTATATTCTTGCTATTTATTTACTTTATTCCAGTGCAGTGCTTTGTCCAAGTTTGTAAATAAGACAGCTGATGCTGGTATTACTGCCCTTCATATGGCTGCATTAAATGGGTATTTTGATTGTGTACAACTGCTACTTGATCTTAATGCAAACGTGTCAGCTGCGACATTTCATTATGGAACATCAATGGATTTAATAGGTAAATCTTTTGTTTAATATGCTAATAAATACATGGTTGTTTTCTTCTCCCCTTTAAAATTACTCATGTACATTATATAGGGGCTGGGAGCACTCCATTGCATTATGCTGCTTGTGGGGGCAGTTTAAAATGCTGTCAGGCAAGAAATTCTTCAACTTTGATGTATGATATTCCATCTTGTCTTTTCCATTGAATCTGGCAATGATGCTCTTATTTTTTCAGATCCTCCTTGCAAGAGGTGCCAGCCGGATGGCTTTGAATTGCAATGGGTAAGATATTATAAATGGAAATTTTTAGGACAAACTTTTGCTTTCTCAGTAACATAAATGATCCAAATTTGAATTTTTTTACCCCAGGTGGCTTCCACTTGATGTCGCTAGTATGTGGGGGCGTCATTGGCTTGAACCATTACTTTCACCCAGTTCTGATGCCATCATACCTTCATTCCCTTCTTCAAATTATTTGTCCTTGCCTCTCATGAGTGTGCTTAACATAGCCAGGTATTTTTGCAGTCAATCTATCTAGATAATGAAAATGACCAACAGCAAGGGGAACAGCTCTGAAATAATCTGGCAAAATATTGGGGACCATACTTAGCATAAAAGGGAAAAGGAAACAGCTAAATAATTTTGGGAAGATGGGAACGTAGACGTGTATGACCCTCACCACCATTCATTTAGAATAGAAGGGGAAAACTATAAGTATGCCTGAACTCGTGAGCCATCAGTGTGGAAGCTTAATTTTCTCCTGACATGACAACTAAAAGAATGTATAAGACTCAATTATCGACTTTGTTTGATATTTTTAATAAGAAATCTAGAATTTAAAGGCTCTCAACTATTTCTTGAGTTGTCCGTTGACATCACATGTGACATACACTAATAGTGAAAAGTCTGAAGTTATAGCATCCCATTTTGCATATCTAGAAAATGGACAAAGTCCTCCATTGAGTCTTATTTAAAAAATTTAAATCACTCCCTATTAAATCCCAACTAGTGAGGGTAGTGGTGTGGGGGCAGCCTTAACCCAATATATTTGTATAGAGACTTTTTTCCCTGATTTGAATCTACAGCCTTTCAGTTTTTTTTTTTGGTAGACACAGCCTTTCAGCTTTACCACTGTTCCAAGCTCTCTGTCGTAGCCTTTAAATTCTAGATTTCTTATTAAAAATATCAAACAAGTGATGAACGGATTGATTAATATTGCTGTCTCGGATGAATTAAAGTATATCAAACAAGTTAATTTGATTCCATTTGCCTGTTTGAGAGAAAGATTAACTAAGTACATAGTATTAAACTTATGGCACACATGATACTTTCCTCAATTCATGTTACCTTTTTGGGAGATAAGGATCAACCGGGTATCCTCTCACTCCCTGGCTGTGAATGCTTTTCATTTTAGTTGTGCATAAAGAGGAATTCACTCAAATTTGGTTGGTTTTGGGCTTATTTTAGTTTTAATTTTTAGTATTGACATTTCTTCCCTCATTAGTTGAGTCAACTACGTTATTCTAAGGGCTATAAAGTAAATTACTAATACAAAATCAATTTAATTAATCTTTAAGGTGTTGCAAAGATAGAATTTGATTTGTAAGTCAATTAAAATCGATTTTTTTGTAGTATCTTCCAAGCATGATATTTGATTGTTAAATCAAATCAAATCTGTTCCAATTTTTAATGATTCCAAACATAACTTCATAGTTTGTCTTTCGTAAATAATTGCACTACCTGGAGAGCATGGTGTGAGAGGATATTCATCTTTGATATCATTAACTGCATCTCTATTGTTTGGATGTTAGTTTTTGGATTCACTGTCACTGTAGTTTCTATCATCTATTGTTTTTATTTATGATGGTATAATTTTATAAAATTTTATATAACATTTATATCAACATAACTTGATTTTTTTGGTACTTATTTCTTTTAGCAAAATATTTTATCCAAAAAAGAAATAAGGTTTGAAGGTTTTCTAGCACGTTAATTCCAAGTATCATCTCATGCTTTCCCTCTCAAATTTTGTTCATAATATTTACTACAGTACAATAGGCTTTCCTTTCTCTCTTCTATATTCCCTTGATGATATGATAGTGGTAATAATAAATATTAGGGTCACAGTCCCTCCTGAGGATTCGTGTCATAAAACTTAACAGTAGGTTACTACTTTGAATCTAGGATTGCTGCCATGTTTATGTATTTTGCTAATGGTATGTATGGGTTGGCCTCAAATTGAAAATCAGTTGTTCAATACTTATGATATGATGCCCTCACAGTACTTACTAAAGTGAATGTGTTGAAATCTGCATCACTGCTTTTCTGTGGTCTCTATTACATAGTAGTCATGCTATTATGTTTATCATATCTGATGATGCTTGAATAGCATTAATGTAACAAGTGAGAACAAAGATTGTGTTGTGTTTGTCTCATAGTAGCTATCTTTTTCGTCTTTTGTGGTATGAAAATGATTTATTGTATACATTCAATAAAAGGTGTCGGCTGAGATAAATGCAGATAATAGCTTTCCACAAGTAGTTCATGATATAGGGCTTGTAAGAAAAACTTATATTCATGAAGGAATATTTCTTTTAGTTTAGAAGCAGGAGTCAAACTGATTCATTCCCCTGTGAGTCCTCTCACTTGCCTGATTTCTAAAGAGGCATTTTATATATTATTTATAAACGGGTCAGGCCAAGCTAGGCCAAAGACAGGCCAGGTTGTAGGCCCCTGACAAGCTCCATTTACACCCCCAGTTGATATGAAGCATAATGTTCTTGCTTGTTATTGATTGTTAAAAACATGTCATAATACCAAAAGAAATGAAGTTATCAATCCACTTGAAAGAGTAGGAGAAATAGAAAATTACGTTTCTGTTGATGTTGTCCTTTTTACCTGATGTACCAAGCTAGAAGTAAAGGTTAAAATATTTCTCTGTTGTTTACTCCTGTTGGTAATGGAAGTAATATTTATTTGAATAACTGCAGAGAGTGTGGATTGCAATCATCTACAACCTCCTCTAACGAAATTGACTTTTGTGCTGTCTGCCTGGAGAGGCCGTGTGCAGTGGCTGCAGAAGGTACTGGATTCTATCTTTTGAATATCTGTATGAGGATATTTCATGAACTGCAGTTCTTTTCTGTTGCAATGAAGGAAAGCAATATGAGATTTCCTTAGTCAAGGAAACTCAGATATATCATTCCATAAATTATAAAGGACAAATCCCGGTGCAGGAAGGCTCCCTGATTTTGTGAGGGTCAATTGTACTCTACTTTTGTAAAGAGACTGATTTCTAGACTCCAATTGTGATAGGTCACAAAAAACCACCTTTCCACTACTCCAAAGCTCACTTCCTCGTTCCATAATTTACAAACTTGTGTTTTCTTTCTCTCTTTCTCTTTTTTTTAAGAGGTGGGGGGAGGTTTTTTGTTTTATCATCCTCTTTGACATTATATTTGCAAAAGTTTTTCCCTTCACGCATACTTAAGTTTCTGATATTAGAATTTGGATGACTTAGTGATGAGATACTAAGTCATTTCTGAAATGCTTGAACAGAAAGCTTGAAACTCGAGCTACTGTTGGATGCTTTCATATGTAGTGTAACTGATCACAGGATTTTTACATGCAGGATGTCGGCATGAGCTTTGTGTAAGATGTGCACTCTATCTTTGCTCAACAAACAATGTTTCTTCTGAAATGCTTCGTCCTCCAGGCTCTATCCCTTGTCCCCTCTGCAGACATGGAATTGTTTCCTTTGTCAAGTTACCAGGCTCCCAAGCAAAAGAAAATAAATTGCATGTGTCTCTTGGCCTATGTACCCCATGCATGCTTCATCCACGTGACCTTGATCGACCATCTCTCTCTCATACACCGGAGATTCGAAGAAACCGGGTTGCTTCTGTTCCTTCAGAGATGCTTTGTCCTGTCACTTGTACTCCATTTCCATCTGTAGCTATTCCTCTATGTACCTGCAATGATGGTCCTTGTCCATCTTTTGAACCCCGTCAAGCAGAAACACAAGATGAATCACCTCATCACATACAAGCCTCAACAATGGATCAGGACAAAATGGAAGGGCCAAGGCTGGATAAAACAACATGTTCAAGCATGTTTTGGGGGAGAAGAAGTTGCAGCAGGGAGCATCAATGCAATTCAGAAATAAATGCTTGAACCAATTAGGGGGTGTATGGCCATTCTTATTTTGTGGATACCGTATACAATCTTAGTCCATGGTTGTCTTATTAACCAACCTCAAATAGTGAGATCCTGTTAATGTATATCAAGAAGAAAGAAAGTTGCTCCATGGCATGCAGCTTTGTTTTACTGCATAGGTTGATAGATGATATTCTTGCATTCAACCTTGCCACCACCTTTTTAGTTTCCCAGTTATGATATTTAGAGGGTTTTGTATAATTAGTATGGACAGATTTTATTGTTTGATTGCAAGTGTATTTCATTTTATCATAGAAACAAAAGTGTCTTTTTTAAGAGGGAAAACGAAGAAAAATACTTTCTGTTTTTTTTATCATATGTATAAGATTAGGAGGTTCTGTATGTTATGTTTATCATGAATTTTATAGGATTACATAGAACAAATTTGAGGGCGAGTCTTGGAACAACTTTGAGGTTGTTTTTTGTGACCTGGATTCGAGTCTGGGAAACAATTTTTAAAAAAATTGCATTAGTAAATTGGCACACAATTGATTTTTATTTTTGGTGAGTCTTGTGCATTGGGATTTATTATTTTACATAGAACAAATTTGAGCACTGAATCTGCTTGTTCATAAATTTGTAGTTGGGAACTCGAGGGTGCTTCTCCAATCATCACGTTCCGCCAAAGTGCTTGTTCGCTAAAGTAGGTTTGTTCCGTGTTGCTGGGGAATTTTTGTGGCTGCATGATTTGTTTATGCAGTGAGAAATTTTATGGGAATAACTTTTGTGTCTCATTCTAAAATGATTATGTTATGTGTCTCATTTTAAAATGGTTGTCATATAAATTTTTTAACCATTCATTAATAAATGAATTATTACAATTTTAGTAGTGAAATTTGTAAAAAGAAAAAGTGAGATTAGTTTTTAATTGCTGATCGCTAAGCTAATTTTCAAAATGAGAAGTGATATTCTATACCCTTTTAAGACCATAATTTAGCTTGCTTTTTCCATAAACTTGTGCTTTTAGCTTTAAGTTTTAAGGGTTTTATTAATTTCATGTTAAAGGAGATAAGTTATCTCATGTCATTGAGATAAATTTGTGAGTTTCACTGCCTGAAAAAGAAAAAAAGGAAAAAAAAGATGACACAATTATCGAAAAATGTCTAGAAGAGAAAGTTATCACATGTAATATTGATTAATTTTTTGTATGTTTTAAATGTATTGTTGCTTTTCCCAAGGAAAATATATTTTGTTGTATGGCTACTACCCTACATACGATCATCATCATCATTATTGGCCCACTAAAATGAAATATGGAGTCAATGATGAAAAAGACAAATGCATAAGAAGAGAATTTCTGTGGTATTGGAAGATTGCTTTGATCTTTCACATAGTCAGTAATCACATCTAACTAATGACATGTTGCCACGTTTGAGATATGAATCCATAGAAATGGTGACACGCAACTTCTCTCTTTAAGGGCAATTATTATCACATCTAATTGAATTTCTCTTATTACTTTTGTTTATTGTTCTGTCCCTCACTAAGCTTTTGTTTCTTCCGTGGATTTTCATGGACAGCACAAAATTGAAGGCACACTTGTCACATGCGAGGATGGCTGCCAAATAATTGAGTAATGATATTTGTGCTTCATTTCTGGGGTGAATAATTCTTTTGCTCAAATAAAAATTATTACTTTATCCCTATTTTTAAATTATTTAAAAAAGATTTAATATTTTTACTTTTGTTAAAGAATTTTTTTTATTACACTCACATAAAAGTAAGTAGGTCCCACAATAAAAAAAAAAATTTCTACGGCAAAAGTAGAAACATTTTCTCCATTAAATTTTTTAACCTTTTATCAAAATTATACACCAATTTTTTCTTGTTTAAGCATTGACTAAACAAGTTACTTGAGAAAATGGCTCATGTACTCGAGTAACTCATGCCCAGAAGTTTATAGCGGTGGGTTTTGGTCTACAAAATTCCACTCGTTTTTTCATCTTTAATGGATCATTATCTTGCACATATATTAATGGATTTGGGATAAGTGTTTGCAAGTCAAAAAAGTAATTGAGGACAATTCTCATTCAATTCTTTAAACCCTAAAATGATGTCAACTTCGAAAGCGCATAACTTTTGGCATGGGTGTCTGAATCGAGTGTTTTTTTTTTTGATTTTGCATAACTTTTCGAGAACTATGCTATAGCAAATTGCCAAAAGGGATTTGGTCAATTTTTTTTCCAAAAAAGGCTTCTTTCTTGGGTTTCGGGAACATAAAGTAAATGGCATAAATCTTTAAAAACAATGTCACACGAACATAAATATATACATAAAATTCAGTTTAGTAAGTTTAGTTTCGGGTATAAAAAGTTTGAAGATTGTCCTTAATTATTTTGAACCCTCCAACCCATATATTTCCAAATATGTGTGTGTGATATAATAATCGGGACACCTTGAATTGGATGAGGATTGTCCTCAATTGTAAAGGACCCTCAAACACTCATCTTAAGTCCATTTATACATGCATAAGATATTAGAACTTGATTTGAATAAAAAATATTCATGGATCCAAATTTTAGTTGCTTAGTTGCTTATTGCCATCACCGACTCGGTTGAAGAAGGAGAGGTTGACGATGAACAAGGAACCCACCGATTGATTTAGGTAAAATTTCTCCCTAGACACACGAATTTGGGGAGCTTGGACGAAGGGTACTTGAGTATTAGCTATACCCCTATTGGTCGAAATGGAGATCTTTTTTTTTTTTTAAGAAAAAAAGATCCACCTCGCTTGAAATACTCGAGTACATCAGCCTTACACTCGAGTATTTCACGATCCCGAAGCTTACTCAAGTATATGATTCATGTATTCGAGTATTTCACCCGATTAACGGTCAAATAGGGACAAATTGATGAATATTTTGGTACAAAGGCAAAGTTGTAATTTTAACTTTAATCAGGGGCAAAATGGTCAATCACCCTCATTTTTAGCCATATTATTCATAATGCAGAGTGCTTAATCTAAGTAAAAATTAATTTTAATATTATTTTATTATGAGGAAGGATCAAATCTAACAATAAAAAGTCATTTACTCAATTTAAGTATTCATATTTTAATAGTTAACTGCTCATATATATAATAAATTAAAATTGTTAATTATAAGTAGAATCAACATATAAGATTGAAGGTGTGATTTACACTAACGTAAAATAATTCTATTCATATTATTATAATAACTTAGATATTTTATTTTTTATATAATTTGCTGATATATATTATTAGAGAATACAAAATAAATTATAAATAATGTAACTTTTAAATGGTGTTATTAATTATTGTAATTTATTACTAAATTATCCCACGTTTCTCAATATAGTGCTAATAGAATACCGTAAATATATTTTCCTTTGTTTTTCTATAAGAAAAAATAATACTCGAAAACATGGTAAATATGAATTCAACCCTAATATTTTGAACTTTAAACTTCAACTCTATATATGTATATCATTTTTTTTGTCCTTTTCTATTTAAAACTATGTTCCGGATGGCCCAACAAGGCTACGGCCCAAAGGTCCAGACCCATCTCAACCCTCAATCCACGTCAGCCCTACCAGCTGGTGAGATTCCCCAACTCCCAACACGGCGACCCCCCAAGGGGAAACACCAAAATGTCCTACCTTGGGACCATAACCCCCGAAGGCAGTCGCCCCAGATGCCATAAGGGAAAACTACCCTTTGTCTCACGCTGACACCGCAAGGCATAAGGGGTGCAGCGCTGCTATCACAGAAGCGTCTGCCACGCCCAGCACTGCCACCCTTAGCAGATCCCAAGGAGGGTTGACCCCCTCCTCACCAACTCAAGCAAGATTCACATCACCTCCTCTATAAATATCCTCGAAGGCACTTGAGGAGGGGATCTTATGTATCGTTGTTATGCCCATTTATATTGAGTCACATTAACACACCTAACTCCATTGTTGATTGCTTGATACATTTTTGGAACAATACCTCTTAGCTTGGTCTCTACCAGTGCTAAGGGTATCATCCATACAGTGATTCTGTCCCTAAAGGGAACATAGTGGGCTTATAGATTCTAACGGTACATTGGCGCCATCTGTGGGGATCTATAAACTTCTATTCCCATTCTCTTACCAAAGATCTAAATGAGGTATCTCATTTTCTGATAGCTAAACATGGCTGTCACGACGAGAAGAGCAGAACAAACTAGATCTGTTACCCTTGAAGGTCATGTGTGAAAAGTTCATTCCAACTCACCGCCATCGATGCATTCAGCCCCAGCTGAACAACCAGCCGGTGATGCCCTTCCCCCGGTACTGCAATCTGTTGACCCGCTGTTACTTACAGCAGACGCTAGGGCTGTGTAGTTGAATCGTCGCATGGCCATACGCGAAATGCAAGGAGAAAACTTGATCCCAAATCAGCCTCCACCACCAGGAGTTCATTCTGGGATGCCACTCCCCATCCTTGTCCCACAAATCATTCCCCCAACTCACCACCAACGACCGGCCAGAAGTCAACCTGTCGCTATGTACAACGACCATCGAGTCCCAATGGTCGCCTCATATCCCCCCGGACCTTATACCCATAATGTTGCTGCCCCTTACCCTCCACCTTTCCCTACAGGCTTTTCGTTCCACGGCTACGCAGTACCACCCCATAATACAATCATCCCACAACCCCAAGGATCAGCCACGATCTCAAGCCCGCCACAATATGGCACCCATCAAGCCCCAGCCCTCTCTTACTCCGTTGAGGCCCCCCAAGCACCACACCCACCACCAGACCTCCATACTCGCAACCCTAACTTACGAATAACACCCGCTAATACCTCAGGGCGCAACAAACCCCTAACTGATAGTCTACGCCTAACGCCAATACCCCTTGGTTTCAAAGGGCCATCAAACATCACAACGTATGTGGGTGATACAGACCCCTTTGAATGGATCCAGAAATTCGAGGCAACAATGACCTTGCATGGCGAGACTAACATCCTTATGTGCAACACTTTCCCTACGCTCCTGGGGGGTAGAGCTTTGACATGGTGCACCACTCTGCCAACTGGCAGCATAGCACCCTGGGATGATCTGGCCAGCAAATTTCAAACCCTCTTCGCCACAAGTCGCCCAGTGCCCAAGTCTGTACATGCCCTTGAAAAGATCCACCAGCAGTCGGGGGAGCCCCTCCGGTCTTTCTTGGACCGCTTCGATAAAGAGGCTCTCCAGGTGCAGGGCTTAGACCCTAAAGTGCAGGTGCACATACTCTTGTCAGGCTTGCGACAAGGGGCGTTCGCATACGAGCTCGCCCGCCACGAAATCACGGACCTCGAGGAGGTCAAGAAAAAAGCTAAGAAATTCATGAGGATCGAAGAGTATAAGGGGAGTAGAGCTGACGACTCTCATAACAGAGAGAAGAGAGCCAACAAAAAAGACCACCAGGATGAAGAGAGGAAAAGTCACAAAACCTCCAAGTATTCGAGCCGCCTTTAGGGCGGGATACGCAAAGCCGTCAATCACACAGCGTCCTGCAAACGGAATACAAAGAACGCAAGGCTAATCCTCATCCACAACTGCCAGAGAGAGCTCACGGTGTACTGCAAGTTCCACCGTAGCAATGGCCATAGCACTGAAGAGTGTAGATCCCTCAAGGATGAAATTGACGAGCTAATCAAGCGAGGAGCCCAAAGGCAGATTCATAACCCTGGGCGTGATGCAGGTATCGGCAAGCGACACCGTCAACGTAGCAGGTCACCAGAGAGGCGAAGAGCCAGCTAATATGACTATATGCCTCGCCGTGAACATAACCACAGAGAAAACTCCCCAAGCAACCGGAGGGCCCAAACTAGCTCAAACAACAGTGCTGGGCGTGCAGAGCGTGACGAGGATCCAACCGTCATCAAGCACGGAATAATAAACATGATTGCAGGAGGACTAAGCGGCGGAGGAGAAACGACGAACGCCCGGAAGAAGAATTGAAACAGTGTTTGGCGATGTCCGGTAAAATCATCAACAAAGCAAAAGCCAATACTGACAACACCAGGCCTAAAATCGTCTGGGACAACAGCGATTTGGGCGATGTCCTACCCGGACATGATGACCCCTTAGTCATCCAAGCAATAATAGCTAATTTTGGTGTTAATCGCGTGTTTGTTGACCACGGCAGCTCTGCTGACATCTTATTTTTACTTTGTTTTAGGGCGTTAGGGTTTGCGCTAAATGATTTAACCGCTGTTGTTGGTGAAATGTCAGGTTTTAATGCAACAGTAACCAAGCCCCTTGGCATGATAAATCTACGCTTGTCAATGGGAACGCCGCCCACTTCAAAGTCTGCAGACATCCAGCTCCTGGTTCTCGACACCCCGTCAGCATACAATGCCATCCTCGGAAGGAGGATGTTTGCCGCTTTCGAGGCGAGTGTGTCTCATCCACACTTGGAAATGAAGTTTGTAGCAAGGGATAACAAAGTCGCAACGGTTAAAGGAGACCAAATGGTAGCACGAAGCTGTTACAACATATCTTTGAAACCGGAAACCATGGTTTCCTTCAAGGACCAACCTGCCCCCCAATTCATAACAACCCAGGTAACTGAAGAAAACCCTGGCAATAGTAATAAGGATATTAATCAGTGTTTCTTGTAGAATTTGACGCAAGGGAGAACCCCCGGTGGAACACTCCAGGCCCACGCTGGATGGAGCATTGGAACATGTCGTCTTAGGCGACGCTGACCACCAAATAACCACCATCGGGGCAATCGTTGATCCTGAAGTAAAAAACATGTTGATTGAATTGCTACGAGGTAATAGAGATCTATTTTCCTGGAAACCGTCTGATATGCTAGGCATTGACCCTGAAGTGTGTTGCCATCGGTTGACCGTGGACCCCAAAGCAAAGCCCGTAGCACATAAAAAGAGAAAGTTTGGCCCCGATCGCCAGAAAGTGATCGATGAGGAAGTAAAGAGGCTCCATGACGCTGGCTTCATTAAAAAATTTAAATACACAACCTGGTTCTCCAACCCAGTGTTGGTTAAAAAGCCCAGCGGGGCGTGGAGGATGTGCGTGGATTATACCGACCTGAACAAGGTATGTCCTAAGGATGCATATCCCTTTCCAAGCATTGACTAGCTGGTTGATAATGCATCAGGCTTCAAAATACTCTCATTCATGGATGCATACTCCGGCTATAATCAAATCCCGTTTCTTGAAGAGGACCAAATCAAGATGGCGTTCATCACCCAAAACGCCAATTATTGCTATACTATGATGCCCTTCAGACTGAAGAACGCTGGTGCCACATACCAGCGAATGATGAATGAAGTGTTCAAAGACTTGATTGGCAACAACGTAGAGGTTTACATTGATGATATGATCGTCAAATCGCAAACGCCAGAGGAGCACCTTTCACACCTTCAAGGCGTGTTCGATAGGTTGCGAAAGTACAATATGCGGCTGAATCCAAGCAAGTGCGCCTTCAGCGTTCCCGCGGGTAAGTTTCTTGGCTTCATGCTGACAGAGAGAAGCATAGAGGTCAACCCCGACAAGTGCAAAGCTGTTATAGAAATGCGAAGCCCCCAAACAGTCAAAGAGGTGCAGTAGCTGACCAGGAGGCTAGTAGCCGTCACCCGTTTCTTGGCAAATTCTGCACACAAGTCACTCCCATTGTTTGGCTTGCTCAAAAAAGGTATGTCCTTTCAATGGTCTGATCAATGTGAGAAAGCTTTTCAGGAGTTCAAAAGAGCCCTATCCTGCCCGCCAGTCCTCACCAAGCCAGACAGTGGTGAAACTCTGTACTTATACCTTGTCGTGGGTACTGAGGCCATCAGCGCAGCTCTGGTCAGAGAACCAAAAGAAAGGAAGCAGCCAATTTATTTCGTCAGCAAAGTGTTGCAAGGGGCGGAACTGCGGTATCAGCAAGTTGAAAAGGTCGCCCTCACACTCATCTTCGCCGCACGAATGCTGAGGTCGTATTTCCAATGCCACCCTATTATAGTCAGAACCAATCAGCTTATTCGCCAAGTCTTGCACAAACCTGATCTCGTCGGAAGGGTGATGTCCTGGGCGATTGAACTGTTGGAGTACCAGATCAGTTACGAACCCAGAACCGCCATTAAAGCTCAAGAGCTCACATATTTCATAGCCGAAATGACGCACACCTGTGCAGCAGCTAGCCAAGCAACAAAAACCCCACGGTCGGCGGTGTGGAAGCTATATGTTAATGGCTCTACCAACGCTAAAGGATCCAGAGCCAGAATGATAATTGAAAATCCAGACGGTGTGGCAATTGAGCATTCACTATCTTTCAACTTTAATACCACTAACAACCAAGCTGAGTATGAGGCAATGATTGTCGGCCTGCTCCAAGCCAAAGAACTGGGAGCGCAACATCTCAAGGTCTTCAGTGATTCTCAGTTGGTGACATTTCAAATTTCGGGTGAATATCAAGCTAAAGGGTCGCTGATGTGCAAGTACTTAGAAAAAGTCAAAGAGATAATTTTGACCTTTGAGACAGTTGAAAATGAGCACATTAGACGATCAGAAAACACACGTGCGGATATTCTCGCCAAGCTAGCAAGCACCAAAAGTCCAGGTAATAATCGTTCTGTCATCCAGCATAACCTGCCTAATCCATGCATCGTCATGAGTATTGCAGACATCGCAGAAGGCGTCGCCGAAAATACCTGGATCACTCCCATCTCTAACTACCTATCAGAAGGTACCCTCCCAGCGGACCAGATGGAAGCCAAGAGGATAAAGCGGAAATGCGCCCACTTTTGCATGATGCAGGGGCTCTTATTCAAAAGGGGCTGCTCAACCCCACTTTTGAAATGCCTGAACCCTAGCAATGTTGGGTACGTTTTGGAAGAAATCCATGAAGGAATCAATGGCCACCACATGGGCGGCCACTCTCTGGCAAAGAAAGCTCTCCGAGCAGGTTTTTATTGGCCGACCATGGAGCATGACGCCCATGAGCACGTAAAAACGTGTGATAAGTGGCAAAGATTTGCAGACATACACAAAGCCCCACCAGAAGAACTTACTGTGATAACATCCCCTTGGCCTTTTTACAAATGGGGGATGGACGTCTTGGGCCCTTTCCCTGAGGCGGCAGGTCGAGTTCAATGGCTGATCGTCGCCATTGACTATTTCACCAAATGGGTTGAAGCAGAGCCAGTTGCTACCATTACCTCTCAAAGGGTGATTAAGTTCTTATGGAGAAATATTGTTTACCGTTTCGTAATCCCAGGAGAAGTCATATCGGACAATGGTACTCAGTTCACAGACGCCAAGTTTCAGGAGCTAATGAAGGACCTGCACATTCGACACCATTCCGCTGCAGTAGAACACCCACAATCCAACGGGCTAGTAGAATCAGCTAACAAAATGCTAGCTAAGGGAATCAAGAAGAAGCTGGAATCTCATAAGAGGGCGTGGGTGGAAAATCTGGAGAACGTCCTATGGGTCTATCGGACAACCGCTCAGTCTAGTACCAGAAAAACCCCTTTCAGATTGACTTACGGCACGGAGGCAATGATTCCTGTCGAAATTGGAGAACCCTCTTAGAGGAAAGACCATGTGACCGAAGTGACCAACAACCAAAATCTCAATGAAGCTCTAGACCTTCTGGATGAGCTCAGAGAGCGAGCAGCACAATCTGAGCACCAAACCAAGGAAAGGATAGCTGCTCGGTACAACAAAAGAGTAATCGTGAGGAGATTTGAAGTAAAGGATTTAGTTCTTCGGCGAGCAGACATCGGAAAGAAGAATGCCCGTGAAGGAAAGCTTGCCCTAAACGGGGAAGGACCTTATCTAATAGTCAACAAATTAGGAGGAGCGTATGCTTTGGAGACACTTGAGGAAAAGGCCATCCTAAGGGCGTGGAACGCTGACAAGCTTCGACGATACTATAGCTAAACCGCAATGTAACATGTATGTTGCACTCTTTTCCTTCCCAAGCTTTTGTCCCACTGGGTTTTGCTTGGGAAGGTTTTTAATGAGGCAGGTCATTTTTTTTATCAATAAAATTCCATTGGTTTTTTTTTTTTGTCTGTTAAACATCAAAGTTACGGGATGGTTCTCACCCCCGCCTAACGTTTGATTGGGATGGTTCTCACCCCCAGCCAGCCAACATCAAAGTTACGGGATGGTTCTCACCCCCGCCTAACGTTGGACTGGGATGGTTCTCACCCCCAGCCAGCCAACATCAAAGTTGCGGGATGGTTCTCACCCCCGCCTAACGTTGGACTGGGATGGCTCACCCCCAGCCAACATCAAAGTTGCGGGATGGTTCTCACCCCCGCCTAACGTTGGACTAGGATGGTTCTCACCCTCAGCCAACATCAAAGTTGCAGGATGGTTCTCACCCCCGCCTAACGTTGGACTGGGATGGTTCTCACCCCCAGCCAACATCAAAGTTGCGGGATGGTTCTCACCCTCGCCTAACGTTGGACTGGGATGGTTCTCACCCGCAGCCAACATCAAAGTTACAGGATAGTTCTCACCCCCGACTAACGTTGGACTGGGATGGCTCTCACCCCCAGCCAACATCAAAGTCACGAGTTAGTTCTCACCCCCGCCTAACAATGGACTAAAATGATGGGTGCTTGCCGTTAATAAGCAAAGTTAGCAATCGGAAGAAGAAGCCGAACACTAGTTTGTAAGAGAAATTATGCAAAGGCACAACAAGAAGGAATCAAACAAAAGCGTTACAAAATTGATTAAGCTGCCACAAAGGCGTTACAAGTCTACGGTTGACATATCAACCATAGGTGGAAAGACAAAGTTACTGGCTGGCATACCAACCATTGGAAAAATAAAGAAAGAAAAAAGCAAGTTCAAGTTGCCCAGGTCAAATGGTTTGATCTCCTGCGGGGGTCGCCTCCTCTACAGTTTCCAAAACCTGTTCAACCATGCCAGCAGCAACTCCATCACCACCCGCCTCTGGGCCTACGACGGTCACCTCTGCAGTTTCCAGAGCCTGTTCCACTACGCCAGCGGCGACAGTATCGCCGCACCCCCGCCTCTGGGCCAGATAAGTTCATGCCAGCAAACTCGGTTGGAAAGTCACGCCCAGCCTCATCCTCTTCAGCATTATCAATACTGGTGGCGTCACTGGTAGGAAGGACTTCCGACGAACCTTCATCCTTGTCAGTATCAGGGCCTTCCTCAATTACCGTCACCCCACCACCTGCTAAGCGCTCAACTACTTTGTTGTCTTCCACCTCGTAGTCTGGGTTGAAACCAGTCATGTCAAGCTCCGGATGCCGAACGGAAACTTGCTGGAGTGCGTTGTTAAAAGAGTCATACATGAGGCTCGCTAAGGCTTCCTCCAATTTTTCCACCCGCCCAGTTGCTTTTTTGAAGTCCTCCTGTGTGGCGTGGAGGTTCCCATGCGCGGAAAATAAGTCAGCAGACAACTGGGCTTTTTCAGATTGGAGACCCTCCTTCTCCTTCCTGGACTCTTCCAGCGACTTTGATAGGTCATCTTTCTTAGAGGTTAGGCGCTTAACCTCTCCTTCCGCCTTCTTCAGTTGTGCGGTCAAAGACTTGTGCGCAGCCTTTTTGTCAGCAACCTCCTTACAAAGGCGCCCAACCTCAGCAGTAAGATAATCTACCTTGCGCCCCATCTCATCAAGGCGATCAT